TATATATATATATATATATATATATATATATATAAGACGATTGTTTTGAGACTTTCTGGATTAAGTTAGGAATTGAATTAAAATTTTTGGACTTATTGCATGATAAGACATGGATGAAGTTAGATTACAATATCCTCATAGCCTTGATCGCATATTTTTTTTGTTAGAATGAAAAGCCCATGATGAAATAACGTTTGGATTTTAAAATTTTACCCTTAATGAAATATTTCTTAAGGCATTTGTTTTCTTTTTGACCTAAGTGCAAATGTGCATAGGGCACATGAATACAATTAACCAGTTAAATAGAGCAAGCCCTGGATGTAAATTGAAATTGGATGACTCTTTTAAGGAGAACCCAATAGAGGATGATATTAGATTTATCTTAAGGACTAATATTGATGACTGTATCCTTGTCAGTGGAAAATAAAACTTTTATAATGAATTACTGCTGTGAATGAGGGATACAGAGGCTATGGGTGGCTGTTTCTATTCTACGAAAGGAGGTTGATCCACCATGATTAGTTACAAATCTTCTACATGATATATTTCAATTGATATTATCCTTTACTGATGTAATAGTCTCTCACGTATATTGCGATGTTAACCAACGCATAGACTACCTGACTAATTATGTTAAACTTCATAATTTGTATTTTGTTTGAAAGAGGGACCGATCTCCGGATTCTTCTATTTTTTGCATATGGTGCTCTTCAGAGCACAAGCTGTATCCGTTTTCTGAATTAATGTAGTATTTTTTATCTTTGAAAAAGTTTATTTTTCTGGTCCAGATTCCAATTTGGTCCCGAAGTGACCCCAATCCGAATGTGTCCGGTTTGAACGAATCGGTGGGTTCTGGTCAAATTGCTGACCGTCACTACATGAATCGGATCCAACTAATTGAACCCTGAACCCAAACGGATCCCCCCATTGCCTTGTGTTCCAAGTCGCAGAGGTCTGTCGCCTTCCGCTTCTATCATATACTTTGGGAGTTTGGAGAACTACCAATCGTCCTTGCTTTCCCCATCTCCGCTCCTCCGACGCCGCAGCCTTCTTCCCGGATCGAAGAGATGGAGTGCGTGTTCGGGCTGGTGGGCGATGGCTTCGCGCTGGTGGCGGCCGACACCTCCGCCGTCCATAGCATCCTTGTCCACAAGTCCAACGAGGACAAGGTCATGATCCTCGACTCCCACAAGCTCCTCGGCGCCTCCGGTGAGGCCGGCGACCGGTACGTCCCACAATCTCCTTCCTCCTCCTCTCTCTCTATATCTCTTCTTTGATCTGTTCTTGATGATTTGCTGGTCGACGACGTCTGTGATCTGTGTGCGGCAGGGTGCAATTCACCGAGTACATCCAGAAGAACGTCCACCTCTACGAGTTCCGCAACGGCATCCCTCTCGCCACCGCCGCCGCCGCAAACTTCACCCGTGGCGAGCTCGCCCTCGCCCTCCGCAAGGTCCGTTCCTCTTACCCCTTGCTCTCCTTCTAGGGTTTCCCTTCGATCTACGGAAGGAGGATAAGGATGGTTTTTCCGTTTCTACTATGCTTGTTGCATTTGTGATATTCTCCTCCTCTTATCTTTAAACTTGACTATAGGGTTTTTGTCTTACTTCTTTTTGTTGGTTTGGTGAATTATGTTGTTGATTGGTAAAGAGTGGTAGTTGGTATTTTGAAATTAAAGAGGACAAAGCCAGTAATGGGATCCAATCAGTGATGAGACTCTAAGTTCATATGAGAATTAATCATCTCATGAGCTCTAGATAATGTCCTTTAAGTGATTTAATATCTGTATGTTTAAAATTACCCTAATTATTTGTTCCAAAACTTCAAACTAACTTTCATGTCTCAAGATGAGGTATAGCTACTGTTATCAGTTCTCCGTAAAAGTTGCATGTATGAGTGGCTGGTTTGGGGGCACTGAAATGAGGTAAGGGGTATGGAGTTTTTATATTTAACTAGCTTTTTATGAGTCACTTTGTTCTACTCTGGTTGATGTCAAAATTAGGCTTGCTTGTATGTAAATAAAGTTCTATTAGGATAAGTGTAAGGCTGACCATAAAACCATAGTAAAGTGCATGTGTAGTGTCGTAGATTCAGAAAACACTGCCAAGAAGATTCTTTATGTCAAAAGTTCAAAAATCAGTTCACGGCTGCTTAGACATTTGGTTTAGTGCAGAACCACAAGTCAACAAGATATCTTGTTCTTAACCTGCTGAATGTTAGGACCTGAGTCACCTGACAGATGCAGCTAATGATTGCTTCTATACTGTCCATAATTTTTTACTGCAATATGTTTTGTCCAAATGCTGCCTATTGATCTTCCAAAGACCCTTTATACACACTGGTCTCGATGATGGTATGAAGTCTTAAATTGATTCTGCCTCTAGCTTAAAATTGAACCCATGGGTGCTTGCTAGCTTTGAGTAATCTCAACTGCCTTCTCTCTTTTTAGCTTTGGTAGTTGCAAAGCACCTGGGTCACATGCGGAAGCTGCTGAGAGATTTTTCTTCTGAATCAGCACAAAGTCACTGATTTCATTAAGCCATCATTTCCACAAAGGCCTTTGAGTTTCTGACAAGTATCTTTATTTTCTTTGCTTTCTAGCTGTTTAATCCTCTTTTGGCTTAGAATACTTCTACTCAACCATTTATGAAGTTCTTCATAGATTGGTAGTTACCTAGGTTCTAATCTTTAATAGGTACTAATGAACATTATATTTAATTTAAATGATCTGCTGTATGTGTGTCATCTTTTGTAATAATGTCCGATGTTGGTTAATCAGCTTTATTCTCCTGGGAGGTTTTTTTGAATTCACAATGTTGGATGCTAGCTATCTTAGAACTTGGTTTAACAAGTCTGATCAGTTCTAAACTTGCTTGATTTCTCAGAACCCATATTTTGTCAACATTTTGCTGGCTGGATATGACAAGGATATTGGTCCATCTCTCTACTACATCGACTACATTGCTACTCTGCACAAGGTTGACAAGGGTGCATTTGGTTATGGATCCTATTTCGCCCTATCAATGATGGACCGACACTACCACAGTGGCATGTCACTGGAGGAAGCAATTGACTTGGTTGACAAGTGTATCATCGAAATTAGATCTCGACTGGTTGTTGCTCCACCGAACTTTGTGATTAAGATTGTGGACAAGGATGGAGCTAGGGAGTATGCTTGGCGTGAATCAATCAAAGATGCTGGAGTTTCTGCAGCGTGAGATAATTCTCATGTTCTATTTTCTTCTTTCAGTGAAACTCCAGCACTGTTAGTGCGCCAAAATTGGGTATGCAATTTGTCGGTCTGGACATAATTTGATGTTAGTCACATTGCAAATGCTCATCTATATGTTTCTGATTTCGTTTTCCTTCACTTGGTCACAATCTAATATTTTAAGGGTTCTTTTCCAAAGCAAATTAGGTTGTACGAACTATTTGATGTCCTGTGGGAAGCTCAGTCGAACTTTATCTTGAAAATTTGGTACATTTTTATGTTGTTTTAGCTAATAGTAATTATTTGCCCTCGTATTACTTGGATATTTTTCTTCCGGAGACATTTTTTAGCCTTTTGCCACCCATCTTGAGGCCCTGCGTCCTCATAGGACAGATATGGTGAGCATCCTCAACCAACCATGCACGTAGAAACTCTGTTGCAACCTCATGCAGTCTAATATTGTGCGACAACAGCCGACGGGATCAAGCAAGCAAGACTGCTCGACCTACAGGGAACAGTATCCTTTCTGACTACGTCACTACTAATTGTCTCATAACCGTGGGTTGGCCCCGCTATAGCTACCAATCAGATTAGATGATAAGAAGGTGGAGTAAGAGCAGGCATAAGAAGGATTGAGCGATGATCAGCACCTTTGTGCCATTGCCATTGCTTTGCTCTAATGGTGGCGTGGGTGGCGCTCTGGGGATTGGCGGGGTGGACAACACCAGTGCTGGCGGCGGTGGCGGCGAGGGGACCACGGTGGCAGGAAGAGGAGGTCCTGCAAATTAACCCAAGGGAGACGTGTTGAAGTGGTTCTATGCATGCATATGTATTCTAGGCTTGGTGCAAGTGGGAAGCACGGACCTGCAACTGGTCGCCTTGGAGGCGGAAGCGGCGGCCGGACCGCATTGGCGGGTGGAGTGCCTACAATACATATTTACGCTGGAATTAGAAAAGTAACAGAGAAAAGGAATATGGATTGGTATATTAAATGGACCATTGCATATACCTGTTGCAACTGGATGGCGAAGGCCACCACTCCCGTTTCGAGGAACGGGCGGTGGAGGCAACGTGGTGGCTGTGACAATGGTGGCAACAACATCAGTACCTGCAACAAGAAAGGAAGAGACCTGACCAAACGTTAGTCGTGTCTCCACTCGGGGTCGTTCTAAGTAACTACGCCTGACGTCAAGGACGGAAATTACATGGACTGCTGATGGCATAATCTGGCGCGCGATTCGAAAGAAAGAAGGAAATATTTTGTTCCGTATTAGATAAGAAACACAACCATAGAATAGACATAATGAGAAACCTGTATAAACCTTGACGATATACATTAAATTTTCGTGTGCAAGAAAAAGTTAGTGATGGATTTATTCAGTATAAAGGAAAAGCAAATTTACTTGATGATATAGCTTTACTCGATCGGTAAGGCAACAAGGAACTCAGGTATTTGAAATAAGAAGAATCCAAACCAAGAAAGTAGCGGAGTGGAAGAAAGAACCCAAGAAAAGAAAAGGTAGTTCAGAGTCCACAGAAACAAGATCGTTTAGGGATGTAGAGAGCAAATCAGTCACTAAAAGGGGACACCAAAGGAGTGGTAAGATAGCTTCATTGCTTCCGGAACGCATTGCTTTAGCAAACGCTTGTCCAGGGAAACACGATCGAGCAGATGAACACCAAGTAGAATGAATCCAAACCCAGAGAAGCAACTAAAGAGAAGGGTCCAAGAAACTATTACCCGAGAATCAAGATCGAGCTGAGGATCACCAAGAACGAATGCAAAAGCAGAGAAGCCACTAAAGAAAGGAACACAAGAGCAGAGAACGAGAGGCGGAGAAGATAGGTGCGACCTCGGCAGATCTGGTCGAAGGGAGAGGCATCGGGGGCGTTGGCCGATTTCCAGCAGGAGGAGGCGAGAAAGAGGAGGCGGGAGGCACTGATAGGAGATCCGGCGACCGCGCTCTCGAGCATCAGTTGGCAGAGACAAGAGGCGTTTTCGCCTCCGATCTCGGCGGAGAATGCCGCGCAGCAATCGTCAACGAGGAGGGGCTGTGGGGAAGAGGCGTACCCGGACGCCGCCGCCGCCGCCAGGTGGGTCATGCAGGTCAACATCGCCTCCGTCACCTTCGCACAGTGGGCAGGAGGAGGCGGCGCTGCGCCCGCGGAGGCGGGCGCTTGCGACTGGAGTAGTAGTATTAGGCAGGAGAGGAGAGCGGGCTTCATTCTCGAACGTCTTCAAAAGAGCAACGACGGCCCGTTACCCAGCTTATATAGCGAACGGCTTGATGGTTGGAGATTCGTGCCGGTTCTATATAGTGCAATCCACACCGTACGATCGTTGCTGGTCAAGAAAGAAAAAGAGAAGCTCCGTGTTCAAAGACAGACAACCATCTGATGAGTGATGAACGGACGGTACTCGAGGTTTGAGCGGGACCCACATCCTGTGCACGTATTAAATTAGTGACACAAAATCTTAACCACCTGCGTGGCATGACTCCTCAAAGCGAATGAACAAAAGACAATAATGCAGACTGAGATTGTAATACACTTGATTATCATATACAAACATTAGTTGCTTTGTTTGGGATTAAGTCTACAACAAAGGACTCGGACTCGAGACTCAGAAACAAGTGTACTAAGAAATAAAGTACAGAGGTTACTGTTCCATGGAACTAAAAAGCACTTAGTTATGTGACCGCGATCGCATGAACTCTTCTAACCGGTCCCACACCTCCAGAGCAGCAGCCCTGTCTTGATGTCTTTTATGTTTACTAATCTGCAAAAGCAATTTTTTTTATAAAAAAACAAAAAAGAGTTCAAGAAAAAGTGGCAAGAGCCACCTGCTCTATCGGAAATTTAAAAGACTATGGGATTAACTCACCGAAATAATCTTTACATTCCACTGTTTCACAGTTTTTGCGGATTCCACACTGTCATCCTCGAAACGCACAAAAAACCCAATAACTGCACAACATTAAATCAGATTTCAGCATTTGCCAGTTATCATTTCATGGTCTTCAGGGCGTGACAAATTTTAGAACCACAAATGACTAAGAAAACTTAGAGCAACTATAAATTGATGGCAAAGCATTTGATGCATGATCTGATGTCTCCACTTTGAGATAATTCTATAATCCAAAAGCATAAAAGCATAGATGTAATAAGAAAATTTGCACATGAAGTAACAACGCATTGTGATCAAAGCGTCATCATAATTAATTGAGCAGGCTCCAGGGCAAGTTTGTCAGAATAGAATAAGTTATCAACCTGCTGTCAACCCTATAACGGTGCCTAGTGCCCAACAATGGCAAGTTTTACTTTGAAACCTAGAAAGCTGTTAGTTGGTCCAAAGGTCTTTACAGTTGAAGTTTAAGCTCACACATGGAAGAGGCAAACCAAAACTAGTCATGAAAGTTATATAAAAAAAGATAGAGGTTATCAAGCAAGGAAAGAAATTTCTTAATCACTTAAGCTTATAAGCTACTCAACAAATCTAAGGGAGGCTAGGAATGGATAATGATTGGCGCATAAAATAAAGATTCCATGCCACTGTAAAATAAAAATGATTCAAACTGCAACAACTGAAACTTGAACATTTACAGCTCAAGTATTTATCCACTGCATGGTCGAAGATACAATAAAAGGAATCACATCCAATGATCATGACAAGAACCAACTCATCTAAGAGCAAGTAAATCAGTCATATGGTACATATACTGCCATTTTCATGAACTAGTTTCCAAATGAGTAACTACAGATGAATGCGGTGCCCAAAGATAGGAATACAAAGGAAGGGATCAAATCAAACGACCATGATATTATATTATTCATAACAGACTATATTATTCATCAAATCAGCGGAAGAGATCAAGTGCATCCATAGGACAAAGTCAATCATGCTTTATCGCCACATATATGAAGCAATGTACATTATTCATAACAAACTAAATGCATTACCTTTATGCCTGATGGGTGAAGGATCAGCTATTAAGAACTATCCAGTGGGCAACCTATCCAAAGTTTGGTCGTGTATAATAATAATAACAATCATAGACATGGATATGTGGACAAACATTGACTAATGAGGAAACAGCCACATAAGAAAAAATGGATATTGCTAGTGAGACCTAGAAAAGTAGTAATGCAAATTAATTTATTTTCAAGAAACTTAAGTTTAGATATCATTTTCTGAGAAACTGTAGCATGATGTTTCCAAATTAAAAGAATAATAACTCAGAGATTCGCCACACAAACAACTTTTGAATTATCAATAAAGTTACGGGATGAAAAAGAAGAAAACTGCCAAGAAATTACACTAATTATTTAAGTGAAAATGCAATCTATGCTACATGGCATAATTAGATGGTTCAAATTTCGAAACAAACTGTAAGTATAAAATTGAAGAGATAAAACAGTAGTACATCTATAAGACAAACAATGCATTTTCTATTATGTAATTCCTTTACATTCCATATGCAAATGACATCCCTACCAAGCACCAGAATAAATAATTCACAACAATAAGGATGTAAGTATTGAAGCATTTGGCAAGATCCTAGTACCAATTGTATCAGACAAAAACACAGATCAAAAGGCAGTACAAGTAATCAAATTTTATTTAAATAATAAACAACCATATAAATTTAATACTTAACAAGGCTTACAAACAACTACAAAACTTCACAATCATCAACACAACAGAACCTTGGGCATCTTACACTGTAAAATCTGGTAGTCCGTAGTTAATAAACCTTATATTAAGTACTGATGTATTCTTATATGAATGCACAAAATGAAAAAATAAATTCCAATTATACTAGAATTATCATATTTTCTTCACATTCATATTTAAAGAATTGGAGTTGAACATGTTAAAAAGCCTGAAGTTTAAATAAACAAATGAAATACAATAATACATTTCAATCAGAAAAAAAAATGGCGTACTGCCTATCCCCAAATGAAACATAATAAAAATATAGCATCAATCAGAAAAAGAATCATATATGTATATATATATATATATATATATATATATATATATATATATATATATATATAGTGTAGTTGTGTGTGTTGTTGT